AGACCCTTCATATATTCAAAATTGATCTTGTGTTCTTAAATCTCAGGTGAATATATTTAAATCTCAGATGATTTTTCTTTTCTATTATTTTTTTAAAATTTTATTTATTCATTTGAGAGAGAGAGAGAGAGCATGACAGAGGAGAAAGTCAGAGGGAGAAGCAGACTCCCCATGGAGCTCGATCCCTGGATTCTGGGACCACAACTTGAGCCTAAGGCAGTCCCTTAATCAACTGAGTGACCCGGGCGCCCCTGATTTTTCCTTTAAATTAGGAAAGTTACTTTAATGATAAATCTAGGTTCCAGGAATGTCTAAAATGATTATATTCCATTTTCTCACAGCCTACAATTTCATGAGTTTTTCTTTCTTTTTAAAGTAGGCTCCTGGGGCGCCTGGGTGGCTCAGTGGGTTAAGCCGCTGCCTTCGGCTCAGGTCATGATCTCAGAGTCCTGGGATCGAGCCCCGCATCGGGCTCTCTGCTCAGCAGGGAGCCTGCTTCCTCCTCTCTCTCTGCCTGCCTCTCTGCCTAGTGATCTCTCTGTCAAATAAATAAATAAAATCTTTAAAAAAAAAAAAAAAAAAAAAAGTAGGCTCCACACCCAATGTGTGTCTCAAATTCACCACCCCAAGATCAAGAGTTGCATGCTCTACTAGTGAGCTAGGTGACCCTCTAAAGCCACCTCACAGATAAAGTATAAAACATTTTTACCTGAGGGCTCCAAACAGTGACATCATTGTCATACTGGTTGCGAAACTGAAAGTAAAAGAAAAAACACCTACTGATTTAAGAACATTACAAATTCAAATTTTTAATAAGCTCTATCATTAAAAAATGTTCTCCCATCTGTTTCCATTCAACATTAACACATGCTGTTAATACAACCTCATTGGTAGATTACTCAGTTGCAAAACTTACCAGGAGCTAAAAGGGAGGAGCAGATCTAGATGGGACCTAACTTCCCAACTTTCTATCTGTAGCACTCCCTTTGGGTTCAATTACTAAAGTTCATAGTGTTCAACTTTCCTTCCCTGTTTATGCTCTTTCCTTATTCTGGGCCCTAATAAAAAGAGTTAAAAGCACGCTTCCTCTTTAAACTAGCTCAAATGTCTACCTCTTTAAGTCTTCATCTTTTCTCCCAAAATTCCAACATACACTCCCATCAGTTCTTTATCTGCACGTCCCTTTCTGCTTAATGATTAGGAACAGCGCAGATTTATCTTTGAACCCTTGCTGCACTCAAAACAGTGCCTTGAACGTATAAACATTCATACTGAATGAATAAACACAAGAATGTTCTCAGGAAGTCTGACATTGACACAAACAGTTAAAGCCATCAGAACCATTACTGCTTTAATAGACATTGAAACAAGTCTACTAGCCAAATACTGGAAGAATAATCGCGGACCGCGGGAGAGTGAGAAAGTTGAGTGCTGGAATGGCAGATTATGGCTGGAAGTCCTGAGGCCAGGTGGTATCCGTGACACCAGCACTTCTCCCAGCTTCGGTTTATTCATTCGTAAAACCAGGTGACTGGACAAAATGAAAAGAACCCTTTCTTTTTAAAAAAGATTTATTGAGAGAGAGTGAGATAGCACAACAGCGCGGGGGACGGGGAGGGAGGGAGAGGGAGAGAAGCAGACTCCCTGAGAAGCAGGGAACCCGACATGGGGCTTGACCCCAGGGTCCTGGGATCATGACCCGAGACAACGGCAGACGCTTAACTAACTGAACCACCCAGGCGCCCCGAAAGAACCCTTTCTGATCAAGCCCTAGGGGAGAAAGAAATCAGACGGACCCACAAGTAAAATGGACGCTGTCCTGGAACGCAAACCCAGGGATCAAGTCTGCTGGGGCAATACAGTGAAGCGTCGAAGTCAAGTCCCTATGTCCCCTTCTCTCCCACACAGAGCACGAGGGGCCACTCTGAGCTCCTTGGAATTACACCACTGAAATAACTGGAGGGGCGAACTCAGCTGGTTGACCGAGGAAACAGTGTCCCAGGCTTGGAAGAAAGCGAAACGAACCCCGGAGAACGGCAGCACCGACTACCCACCGCCCCTCTCCCCGCCAGGCCGGAGATGCTGAATCACTGCCGGAATCCTCCCGTTGGCGGGGGTTCCCATACCCCCTAGTCCCGGGCCGCTCTGAGAATGACAGGAGGGGGGCTCGCCATTCCCCCGCCCGCGGACCTCAGGCCCAAAACTGCCCGCGCTCAGAATCCAACGCACCATGGTTCCGGCGCGGATCTGGCTGCGGCCTCCTGCAGAGGTGCGGAATCAGGAAGGTTGCCGAAACTACCGCTCGACAATCTACAGAGAAGCCTTCGGGATTTTGACGAAGGCGGCGCAGGGCAGGGCAGTCTATCCCAGAGATATCGATAGAACCCGACGCTTCCCCGCCCTCAAGGCTCGCCCCCTCTCCAAAGTGGGCGGGGCTTAGGAAGAAGGAGGAGTTGAGATTGGCGGGAAATCTTGGGCAAGGAGTGCGGGCGGCAGCAGAGAGTTGCGGGGCTGCCGCTACAAAGTCGCCCTTCTTGGATTCTCAGTGATTATTACCTGTGTTTTGCAGATTCCCTCCAAGTCCTCACCGGCCCGACCGATACACCTGAAATCGATCGAGACAACTCCTGCGACTCCAGGTGATCCAGTGTGCCGCTGGACATCTTTCGTTCAGGGTCCAGAGATTTGGGGTGTTGTGTGACTGGGAGAAGGACGAGGCTGTAAGAAAGGCCACAAAATAATGGTCCGTTTGTATGTGTGAACCACACTCTTCGTCAAGTATGTTGTCTGTGTACATGCTTTTCTTTCTACTTTGGGATCCTTTTCTCCATTTCCTGGAGAAAACATTTTTCAAGGCTGTTACCATTGATCGCGCTTTATCGTGATTGGTTTCCTCTACAAGACTTTGAACTCCATGAGGGCAGTAATGTCTTTCTGTAGTCTCAAAACCAAGCATGATGCTTGGTTTTTATCTTTTTTTTTTAATATAATTTTTTAATCTGGTAGATTAGACCACTGGGGGGAAAAACTGGGCATTTTCTTCTGAAACACATATTTTCTCTCTTGAGAACTTTCAGTAAATCCCCAGATAAAAGACTTTGGTACAGTAACATCCACTTTGTGCCAGCGTTTTCTTTACAAAGTAGAAAAGATACGTACCTAGGCTCGGTTAAGGTATGAATTGAAAGGATCCTTAATGATCTTAGCTTTGCAGGTAAGTAACAGACTCAGATCACTTAAGTGATTTGCTCAAATTGAGAGCAATTTAGTATCACACTCTTTTTAAACCTTTCGTTTTTATATTTTGGTCTTTTTCCCCTGTTAAACATTTTTAGGTTAAATATGACTTTCTAGTATTCTGCGTTATGCATATATGATGTTTTATTTACCGAAGTCCCCATTGTTTAATATTTAGCCCCCCCCACTCACCCACTCATTTATGAGCTGCTTGATAAATATTTTTAGAATCTCTTTTTTTTTTTAAAGATTTTATTTATTTGTCAGAAAGAGAGCACAAGCAGGGGAAGTGTCAGGCAGAGGGAGAAGCAGGCTATACTCCTTTCTTTAGAATAAATTCCTGGGGCACCTGGGTGACTCAATGGGTTAAGGCCTCTGCCTTCGGCTCCAGTCATGATCCCAGGGTCCTGGGATTGAGCCCCACAGAGCCCAACATCGGGCTCTCTGCTCCACGGAGAGCCTGCTTCTTCCTCTCTCTCTGTCTGCTGCCTCTCTGCCTACTTGTGATCTCTGTTTGTCAAATAAATAAATAAATAAAAATCTTTAGAATAAATTTCTAAAAGTGGAATTGTAGGGTCAAATGAAATGGATTTTTCTAAAGCTTTTAATAGAATGTGCTAAATTGCCCTCCAGAAATGTTTTGCCATTTTATACTCTGCACAATATTATATGAAACCTCTCTGGCAGTCTAGTGGTTAGGATTTGGCGCTCTTTACAATAGTATATGAGGGTCTTCTCCCTAAATTCACCAATACTGGTTGTCATTTTTAAAAATCACTGTTAATTTAGTGAATTAAATTAACAGGTTTAAATTAACAGATTGTTCTCTTTTGTTTCTCTAGCACTCAGCATAATGCCTAGCACATACTAAATGTTTAATAAATACTGAATGTTGAGAGACTAAGGAACTATTCATTTAAAATTGTTCATGTAGCCCAGAAACATTTTGACTATTCTTCATATGTATATATTCACTTGCTTCAAAAATACATATGATGGAGGCACCTGGGTTGCTCAGTCTGTTAAGGGTCCAACTCTTGATCTCAGTTCAGGTCTTGATCTCAGGATTGTGAGTTCAAGCCCCACGTTGGGCTCCACACTAGGCATGGAGCCTACTTAAAAATATACATAGGTATAATAGATATATAATTGTTTTTACAAATAAGATCATACTAAATTGTTTTATACTACACTTAAAAAGTCATGGTGGGGGCGCCTGGATGGCTCAGTCGGTTAAGCATCTGACTCTTAGTTTCGGCTTAGGTCATGATCTCAGGATCATGGAATGGAGCTCCATATGGGATCCATGCTCAGTGAGGAGTCTGCTTGAAATTGTCTACCTCTGTCCCTCCCCCTCTGCCCCTTTCCCTGCTTGTCCATGTGCAAGTGCTCTCTCTCTCCCCTTCTCGCAAATAAATAAATAAATAAATAATTTTTTAAAAAAAGTTATGTCCATGTTTTCGTGTTCATTAAATAATGATACATATTATTTTCAATAGTTGCATATTATTCCATTGTGTAGAAATATGTTAATTAACTATGGGTAAGCCATTAGATCATTTCCAAGCCTTTGCTATTATAAAAATACTATAATGAATATTCTTATACATACACACAGTTTGTGTACTTTCCTGATTACCTCTTTATGATGAATTAATTCATAGTGATAGAATTGCCAGGTCAAAGGGAACCTGCATTTACAATTAGGATAAATATGGCTAAGTTACAAAAGAGTAAAAAGTTATATCAATTTATATTCTACAGTGCCTGAGAGTTCCACTTTCTGACTTCACCAGCACTGGATAGGGTGAGTACTTTTTACCTTTATCAAGTTGATAGGCAAGAAAAGAAAAAAAAAAAAAAACTTTAATTTTAATTGTATTTTTTGATTACTAGCAAAAAAAAAACTTTGCATGTATTTCTTGACAATTTATGTTGCTTTAGGGAATTGTCACTTAATTCCTTTTCTCAATTTATTATTATTAGTCATTTTCTCATTGATTTGTAGGAGTTCCTTCCATTATCTTGTTACTGTGTTACTTTTGTAGAAGGATCCTGTTGAATACAAAGAAAAGAAACTCAATGAAATTAATTCAAGTAAAAGTTGGTGGGCTACAGCATGGGCATACTGTAAATATGTAACAGGAAATCACATAAATACTCAAGGATATGAATTTTTTTATTTACTGAGGTATTTCTAGTTGTTAGGACAAAGCCTGGCATAGTAATAGGTACTCACTAAATATTTGTTGAATGAAAGAGTGGTTAATCTCTTACTCCCAAACTTGCCCTTTTGTAAATACCTGGGGCTTTGTGATATATTATTCATTCACAATGATTGGCTCTTATCAAAGCTCCACTATGAGACATCAGAAGAGGCATTTGGTTGTCCTTTTTGTCAAAACTGAAGGTCCGAAGTACTTAATATAGTTTTTATATGACTTTCAGCTCCTCTCTGCATGTTTTGGGGATTTGGCTTGGGATACATCTTGGTCCTTAACCAAGAGCTGAAAAATTAGTCAATAAAGATATTTTGTAAGAAGACTGGGTCAGCAAATGTAACACTGCTTCTTCAATTTAATGGTCATTAGTTAATATTTTTCTTAAAGATTTTACTTCTTTATTTGACAGAGAGAGAGGTCACAAGTAGGCAGAGAGGCAGGCAGAGAGAGAGGGGGAAACAGGCTCCCTGCTGAGCAGAGAGCCTGATGTGGGTCTCGATCCCAGGACCCTGGGATAACAACCCAAGCCGAAGGCAGAGGCTTTAACTCACTGAGCCACCAGGTGCCCCGGTCATTGGTTAATTTATGTCAGGCTTTTTAATTTTATTTTTTAAAAATATTTTATTTATTATTTATTAGAGAGAGAGGGAGAGAGTGGACAACAAGAGAGAGAGCACAAGCAGAGTAGGGAGGGAGGCAGAGGGAGAAGGAGACTGCCTGCTGAGCAGGGAGCCGGATGCAGGGCTCCATTCCAGGATCCGGAGATCATGACCTGAGCCCAAGGCAGAGGCTTAACACCTGAGCTACCTAGCCACCCTTATGCCAGGCTTTTTTAGAATCAAGTAAAAAGTAAATGCTCAATAAAAGCCAAGTTGGAAATTTTCCCCATGGGGATATAAATCTCAATATGTTACTGTTTAACAGCTGTAATTGTTACATTGTGCAAATGAGATGTGTAAGGTACAATTTGCAAATAACTTATTATTTTCCCCCATACATTAAAACACACCCAGTGGTTGGGGTGCCTGGGTGGCACAGGCAGTTGAGCGTCGGACTCTTGATTTTGGCTTGGGTCATGGTCTCAGTCATGAGATCAAGCCCAGAGTGGGGCTCAATGCTGAGCGTGGAGCCTACTGAAGATTCTCTCTCTCCTTCTGCCCCTCCCACACTCCCCCCAGTGCCCATGCCCTCCCACTCTTTCTCCCTTAAAGAACAAAAACCAAAACCACACTCAGTGGAGTTAATTCCTCCCTGCTCCTTGAATGAAACATGACACAAATATCACCAGTATTATCTTCCTCCAGCTTGAGCCTGTTATGACAGAAAGGGGAATGGTTGACTTCGTTTCTGTGTCACTACCTAAAATTTCTTTTTTAATACCCCTTCCCTTTACCAAGGAGGTTTCCTTACTTCTCCCAAGTTGGAACAGAGGGAAGGGCAAGAGCGTTCTTAACATGGCTAATACAGTTCTGCAATTAAGGGTTGATGCTCTCTGAACTTAACAGGTGTTTACACTTGATACTTGTTACTTTATGCATTCTTTGGAAACAGCTCTACCCTCACCTTACCCTGATGAGCAAATACTGGCAATCTCTTGCTTACACTTGGGTGAATATATGTCATCTGGCAATCAGTTCAATGCTGGCATCTGTGCTCTATGCCTCAAGCTTCTTTCTGTGGAAGTCTCTACTCTTCCACTTGACTTTCTTCAGTAGTCCATATCTGATCCAGATATCCAGAGAGGCTTTGCCTCACACCTCTGGGAGTATATATTTGGACCAAACTCAAAACTCATCTTTGCAATTAGCCAGCCATCTTTGCTTGTCCAGATTCCACTAGAATGTTGGCTCCATGAAGGCGGGAGGTTTTCATGTATTTCATTCACTGCTGTGGTCACCTGTGCCTAGAATATACTTGTACTCAGTAAGTGCTCTGTAAGTACCGAATGAACGATTTCCTCAGATATGATCTTGACACTAGTGCATTATGACCCCCAGAACCCCCAGCTCTAAGGGCCGTATATCAAAGTTCTATAAAGCCTCTCTCCCTAGGCATGAGGTGAGGAAAAAAGCAATGTCAACACACTGCACACTGAAAACCCTCTCAAAATCTTTTTTTTTTCTTTTAAGATTTTATTTATTTATTTATTTCACAGAGAGCTAGAGAAAGAGCACAAGTAGACAGAACAGCAGGCAGAGGGAGAGGGAGAAGCAGGCTCTCCACTGAGCAGGGAGCCCAACGTGGGGCTTGATCCCAAGACCCTGGAATCATGACCCGAGCCAAAGGCAGATGCTTCACCAACTGAGCCACACAGGCACCCCCTCTCAAAATCTTCTAAACTTCAACTTTTTTCTGACTTAGAAGTGGATAGACAAGAGTTGCAAAAGCAGCCCCCCATTTTTTTCAGTTTCCCCCTTTGATGGCCCTCCACTTTATTGTGGAATGTGGGAATAATTCACTTTCTTGGAGGTGCAGACAAAAGTAAGAGTCTCATTTTAACATCCTGCTACACACACATAACAATTGCACCTGTTTTGAGTGCTGTGAAGTATGTAAGCCTGATGATTCACAGACCTGTACCCCTGGGGCAAATAATACATTATATTAATAAAAACAATTTAAAAAAGCAAAAAAAACCCCCAATTGTACCTGTTTGTTTATGTACTGTCTCCATCTATTAAATCATAAGCTCCTGGAAGACAGGGCCTATGTTTTATACACACACACACACACATATATACACATCCACACACACACACATATATATACACACACCCACACATATACATATATATACATACACATATATATAACTTATATATATTACATATAAATATATATATTTATATTATACACACACACACACACACACACATATGGTGTCATGCAAACTGAGTGCTGGATATGGTTTAAAAAGTTAAGAATGAATAAAAGTACCTTAGCAGTAATAATAATAATTCCAAACATATTGCACAGTACCAGAGATTAATGTCGAAAACTGTCTTCCGAGTACTCTTCTAGAAGAAATCTTTAAGTTTGGAAGTATTTTTTTTCTATTAAAAATTTTTTTTTAAGATTTTATTTATTTATGACAGAGAGAGATAGGGAGAGAGGGAACCTAAGCACAGGGGAGCTGGAGGGGGAGAAGCAGGCTCCCTGCCAAGCAGGGAGCCCAGTGTGGGGCTCCATGCCAGGATGCAGGGATTATAAACTGAGCTGAACTCAGATGCTTAATGACTGAGCCACCCAGGCATCCCTAAAAAAATTTCTTTAATTGAAGTATAATTGACGTATAATATTATATTAGTTTTAGCCACAACATAGTGATCCAACAATTATATATGTTACAAAATGCTCACGTCAGGAAGTGTTGTCACTACCCGTCCACCATACAAAGTTATTATAATATTATTGACTATATACCCTATGCTGTACTCTTCGTCCCTGTGACTTATTTATTTTATTACTGAAGTTTGTACCTCTTAATTCCTAAATTTGGAAATATTTATAGCAGCTTTGTAGGATTGCTTACACCTTGATGTTTCTGAGCTAAATAGTCTCCATTGCCCCTATAGATCTTCTTCAGCAACATCCCTTTCCCCTCTGGCTTCTGGTTGATCTCAGCGGATGGAGGGCACTAGCAGGACATCAGAAAGTAGTGGGAGAGGGACACCTGGGTGGCTCAGTGGGTTAAGCCTCTGCCTTCGGCTCAGGATTCAGGTCATGATCCCAGGGTCCTGGGTATCTAGCCCTGTATCGGGCTCTCTGCTCAGCAGGGAGCCTACTTCCACCTCCCCCCCACACCGCCCCCCAGCCCCACCTGCCTCTCTGCCTACTTGTGATTTCTCTCACTGTCAAAAAAACAAAATCTTAAAAAAAAGAAGAAGAAAAAGAAGAAGGTGGTAGTGGGAGAAAGAGATCAGTGTATTTATTACCCTCCCTTCCTCCCTCCATACTAGCCCAAGTTGGCAGTGGTACTGTACCATCTCTTACTGTTTCCCTGCCCACATTCTGATGTACTCTCTTCAGTTGTGCCTTTTGTGTGTGCCATCTGTTTCCTGCTGGGACCCTGATGGATTCGAATAATATTTTAAATATTTACAGGGTACAGGAGTTATACAATACCTCTTTTTTTTTTTTTAAATGTGAGAAAAGCTTGTTTTCTTGAAGTTGAGTTTATATTATATCTCTCAGAAGGTTAATATTGGTAGGTCTGAAACAGCTGGAAAATAGAACCTAAGATTACGATATATCCCCTTCCCTGTTTTTTTCCTGCTCAAATATACAGGGAAAAAAGTCAGCTTACAGTTGGTTTTGTAATTTTTTCCAATACTAAAAGGAATATACATTTAAACTTTTTCAAATGCAAACAGCATGAAAAAAATCCCTTATAATTCACTAGGTAGAGAAAAATCAGTTAAAATTTTAGTGATTTTTTTTCTCCTACAATAATGTATATCTAAAGAAAGGAAGAAAATTTACCCCAAGAATATATTTTCTAATATTTATAATATGCAATACATTGTATAAATATATATGTATTGTAGGTGTGGCTCTCATTCCACTGAAATAAATATTGCATTTC